TGACTTTACTTTAGGGATCTAGTGAGACACACAGGGCTTTCATATGCAAACACACAGTCAGTATTTGCACACACACCCCTCTCCCAGCCAGTCTGACCTGTATAGTAAGCTAGTCGTCTGTGGTCCATGTCAAACAGGAACCACCTTTTCTTCCAGGTCTTCACCCTCCCCCCTCGTTTGGTCAGGAAGCCTGCACAGCGTCGAGGCGTCAGCCGAAGGTCTGTGCAGGCGGCTACTCCGTGACCCAGAGTCTCCAGGTGTGACCGCAGGTCGAAGTTAGGGGAGAGGAAGAGAGGCAGGCTGCGCTGCTGGAGGGACAAACTGAGTTTAGATTTAGGCTAAAAGAGGAACTTTAGTTTTACATGGAAATCTGAGGAAACATTAAACTCATCAATCAGCTCCTGTTTTAATGGTCACATATTTTTAAGGATTTCTGGTGAGATCAGATAAAACAGATTGATCTTAAACATGGCTTCATTGTAGATACTTCCAACATACCTCTGGGGACTTTAGGGGAGAACTGGCCTTTGGTTCCTCCTTTGGTTCTGACTCTGGACTATGTGGGGTCTCAGCTTCGACTGGCTCTTTTCTGGGAGAGTTTAATTCTCTTTGCCTTCTCTCGTACAACAACACCCGCTTTCGCTCTTCCTGGTTGCACACACAAATCAGAGAAAATCACTAAACTATTCCAAAATATTTTATGAGCCTTTTCAAGGGTAACAAGCAACAGAGATGTTTTTTTCAGTGGACTGCTTGATGTTTGTGTTTTTAAAAAAGACAGCTGGCAGCAAAATGCACACTGAAAGCATCCCACTTCCCTAGTTCAACTCTTACACACTCATGTTCACACTCATATGGCTTCACATTTTTCTGTCTTGGTATTTAACCATGCTTCAAATATGCATAACAAACATTCACACATCTGGTGGCTGTTTTCTGAAAGCGTCATGTGTGAGCAGGATGGGTGTCCGTGATCGGACAGCCGTGTCTAATGCAGGGTGTCGCGGGTGATTAGAGGTGTCAGTGAATGTTTTTCCCACAGCAGGTGACTCACCCGCTCTCTGAGCAGCCTCTCTTTCTCGGCTTTGGCTTCTCTCAGTTTCTTCTCGATCTCCACCAGATCGAACAGAGACGGGCTGAGAGATTAAGAAGTCATATTCATCTGGTAAGTCAGAGATTTAGATACAAAATACATTTACATACAGTTTTAACTGTGCAGCTCCTGAGAAACAAAGAATAAACACATTTGTACAGACAACAAAATTGCAAATAAACCTAACAAACTTTTGAACAACATTAACAAGAGGTCAAAATGCTCCAGCAACACTTGTGGTAAGAAGATTAACTTTATTAACAATTTAGACCGATGCGTTTCGGCAAGTGGCCTTCATCAGGGTCATCCTGAACAACATTAACAACAAATAAAACAACCAACAATGCTCCAAAAGAGGCCAAACCAGAAGGATATTCTACAACATACCCAGGGTTTCTTTTGGATATCTGGCTTCACTCAACCTGACAAAAGAGATCCCACTAAGTGGTCCCATAAGGCTGGTTATCAACCTCAACCAGTCTGCTGTCAGCAGATGATGTTTCTCAACACAAATTGACATTACAAGATGTAAAGAATTTAAACTCATAGTCCAGATTAAAATCACACAGCTGCAGAGACAAATGCAGGAAGAAAAAGACTGTGAAGGTGCAAGTGCGTGCCTATAATGTCATTTAATCACCATAAGTGCACAATATCTGAATATAATAACTCCTGTATATTCCCTTGAATTAATTATTTGCTCATATGTGGTGTTTATGACGGTTTTAGATGTCATATTTCAGCTTCAGCCGGACGTATACAGAGCGATATGTGGCTTATGTGGCAAACGTAGTTAAAAGTAGTTAGTATGCTTATTTTTATGTCTTAATATGTACAAAAAGGAGAAGCATTCAGTACTTTGATTAGTCTCTGTTGTAGAATGATCACTGTAAATCTTTAATTATGTCTTTCACGATTATATATTTTATATGAACAATCATACAGGAAACACAGCATTATATGTTTGACCCATTTAAACAATAATAACTTGTCAACCTTTATTCCCTTCATTTTCAGTGTGCTCACTTTCAGTTTTAGCTCTGATTAGGATGCTTTCGATTATATTCTTAAATATATTTTCAATTTCCTGTTTTTGTTGCCCTATCAGATTTTTTTAGTAGAGATTTCATGATGAAAATGACCAGATTACCAGACGAAACATGGTCTGCGTCTTTGCTGGGTGAATGCTGTTATAACTAACAGGATTTCTCTCAAAATCTAAGAAAATAAGAAAAAATAATCCAATAAACTGGAATAATCTTTTAAAGTACTGTAGCTGCACCTTACATAAAAACGGGTCCGTTGCATCTTTTAAGTATGAACAATAAAAAATACATCCCTGCCTTTACTGTTGCATGCATCGGCGAAATAAATCAAACCGAAAAGTCTCCCTCTTTTAGAGAGTGTTCATCAAACCAGCGTGGCAGTAACTGACCTGGCAGCACGGGAGCTTGTCGTACTGTTGCAGGGAGTGATGAGACCTCCACCGTTGCTGGTCCCAGGTCTGTATACGCTGCTGTGCCCGTTGCTGAGCCTGTGGGAGGGATGGGGAGACTTGAAAGCCTCTGGGCTGTCTGGAAGCGTCCTCACCAACCCTGAGAGAGGAAGGTAACAGAGGCAGACAAGGAAACGTCAAGGCTAATACGCATTTGTTGAAAATGTGGATAAACAATTTGTGCAAATGATTGCCATGTCTAGAGATAATATGAGTTGTAATGTGCTTTTTATGTGTTTTAATGCATTTCAAAGTGTTTTTTAATAGGTTTTTATGTACCTTTCTGCGTACCTTTTTATTTCTGCTTTTGTACTAAAAAAGGAAAGGCGAGGACACACACAAGACTTGACACGGCCTTGTAGGTCAGGCTGCTCTGACATTTGGTGACAGATAGGTGTGTGTGTGTGTGTGTGTGAAAAAGTTTAGGCTTTGGTTAATGTGAGCTCCTCTGGCTCATCCGGTCCGTACAGGTAAATCCTGCTTTCCACCAACGCTTAAACAACCTGCAGTCTCTACTGACACACCTTTGATTTGACTAAAAGGGAGGGAACTGAGCAAACAGTCGCCACAAAATGAGGACATGAGCGCAGAGAGAGGGTTTATTGTTCTATCCCATGGTGATCTCAGCATGAACAATCAAGACCACAATAAGAAAGTCATCAAAGCTCACCCTGTACTGAGAGCGGTCGGTCGTTTGGTCGGTTTCGATTCGAGCTCCGTCTTCTGGGCAAACTGGCAGAATCTTTGCCATGGTCCTACGACACAAAATGAAAACGAGGCATGTATGAGCTGCTGAAAAAACTTCATTTTCAATATTTTGTGTTTAATTACTCTCATGAATTTACTCTTGATATATTAAATATTGAAGACGTTCCCTCAATGACCCTGTGTATTTAAACAAAGGTTCAATGACTGAATTAAATCGTATTTCTCTGAGCTAAAACAGTAAAGTGATACATTTCTACCTTTATATAGTTTAAATCAGCAATTATCATTGCTATATTTCACATTTAAGATATTTTCAAGCCCTACTGCTAAATATTTGAAGGATCATGTCGCTCTAATGATAATGTTTTCAGGTAATAACAAACATTTAATTCTAATCCCATGCTAAAAAGGGCTTTACATATGAAAATAAAAATAAAAACAGAAATAATAAATATTAGTAATAATAAATATAATAAAGTCATGACAATAAAAAAAATCCTGAATCTCAAACAAGCGAGATGTACTCCAACAAGTAGTGGTGTAACAGTATTTGTATTCATCCTGAATGTTCAGACTACAGGTTCAGAGCATGCTTTTTTTTGTTGAATATTCAATACACTAAAGACTGTCACACAAAGACACAAGATGGAACAAACTGTAACCTGTACCACAGTCAGCTCTCATTAAATTAGAAATATGACTCTGAAACTTTATCTCGCTTTTTTCCCGTTAAACCGAAATCAAACCGAACCATGACCCTAAATCGAGGTACGAACCGAACGGTGACCTCTGTGGATCTTTATACCCTGAGCAACAAGTGAAGTAATACATAGAAAAACTGCACACAAAGACACAAAATGTAGATCAATGAGAAAGATTATCTTTCAAAAATGTGGTTTCAAATTGTTTTTTAAGAGGTTATTTTAAAAGTAGCGTTTAAAGACTTAAAAACCATGAATATCTATGAATTTTAGATGAGCAGTCAAACAAAGAACTAAAATCCAACTTCTCAGCTGAGAGGCAGGAAACTACGCTAACATATTTTTGTACTGTGAATGGCATTTTTTTCTTGTATATAAGAATCCGTACAACTTCATCGATGTGAACTCTTCTCAAAAGGTTTTTCTTTAAAAGTGTTGCGATGTCAGATTTTTTATAGCCCATGATGTCCCGTTGAACTCCGCTGTGCTCTGACTTTAAGATGTAGTAAGTCCTCTCGCTGAGCTGTGATTGGCTGCTGTAGGAGGGCGAGGCTGCACACCATTGTGCCTCTGTGAACCCACCATTTATATTTACGGCAAAGTATACATTTAAGAAAAAGCCTCATTAGTGATAATAAATTATATTTTTTCTTTAGAAATGTCTTTGTGTCAGAAAGAAAAAACACATTGTACAAGGCACAGCTGTTGTTATGTGATATTTTCAGGTTATAAACCACGAGAAGATTTCTTTAAATGTTCCCTTGATGATGAAATATCTAAATGTAAGTTCAATATAAAGACAACCAACTGTCAAGTGTACAAAGACATTTTAGGCAGGACAATGGATTTTGTTTCTATATTTAATTTTAAATAAGAAAATGTAAATAAGAATTTATTGAGACTGCTACAATATTGATTTAAATACCCAGTGTGTAATCAACAACAACAACAACAACAATGAATACATGAATAAAAAGGAGCTCTATGCTTGTTGTTTATTTGATCTTCTTTACTGTTTAACTAGTTTCTTTATTGATTTTGAACATTTTGTTTCTTCATAACGGTAATGTGTTAGTGTCAAAGATGCTTTATAAATAATGTTGAGTGAGTCAGATATGGTGGAGAAGAAGGCCAAGCTATGGGACCTTTACCACAAGCAAACATCCAATCCTCCACACTCTGATGTCGAGCAGCAGAAAGGACACTGATGTCATCTTTACTCTGACCTTTTTATTCTCTTTTTAACGTTCAACAATCATTTCTCATCAACGTTCACAGTTTAATGACGCAGAACAAAACATGTCAGCTGATCAATAACTCCATGAACAAGCCTGACACAAAGATTGTTTCAAACTGGAACAAAGACTTCAAGAACACACCTTTACTGAAGTACTGTAAAGTTGTTTTATCACTCTATATAAAAACGAGAATATATATACCAGATGATGAAGCGATAAAGCTGATTTAATGCTTTGTGCAGTAACGGAAATATATTTTGATTTGATTTTGGTTAATAACATTTTTGGTAAATCATATTTTAAATAATGATAAAGTGGTTATTCAATATGAATACAATATATTTATAACCCAATTTAAACCACATCATAAATAATATTAATTAAAATCAGAGTACTTTTAAGGGCTGTCATTTATAATCAATGTGTTTGTAGTTCATCATTATTTTTGAACAATTAACATGAGTCTCGTCGAGGTTTTCAAGTTTCTGTGAGATTCAGTGATTATAGAATTGTTTGGATAGTCTAAGAAAACAACGTAGGGCAGGTTTATGGAAATAACAAAAACATTTTTTTTATAACATTAAATTTGTATGTTTACACTTGCCCGAGGCCTCATCTAGTGTAATTAAAATCTCATAAGGAAAGGAAACAACTTGAAAATGAACAGTATACTGTTGCTATGTTTTAATATTTAACATCCATCTGTTCTCAAAACCAAAGAGAACAAAAAGGACAGGAAGTCAATTTGGGTTCAATGGGCCCAGCTAAGCGTAGAATCAAAATGATAATAAAACAAAAATAATAATAATAATAATAATTATTATTATTATTATAATTATATGTTCAATATAATTTCATACCAAGAATACTTATATTGTTTTTTTTTATTCTGCAATTTAAAAAAAAAAATATTATGAGCACGAGATTATTTTGTTTTTTTAGTAAAATTACATCAAGTAGTTTTCTTTTATTGTCTTAAATGTTGCAGTTCTCTTTTGTAAATGCTTCAATCAATCTTTCATTCTTTTTCTAATTAATGTTTTTTTTAGATTTCCAAAAGAAGAAGAGAAGAGGTAACATGTTAGATTTCGACCTTTAATTCAAAACAATAAAATACTAATGATAAAATACAACACTTTAATGACAGTATATTCATTTAGGTTATCAATTAATTAGAAGTTTGATTTGTTTTCTACATTTGAAAATGTATTCCCAAATGACATTACCATATTTAAGGTAAAACAGACAGTATCTAAAGGATGGTTACAGCAAGCTATAAAATGACACTGATGTGATTAGTGTTTCTAAAAAATGTAGCCAGCAGGCCTTTAGTCTTTACAAGGAACCTCAAATACAACATTAGTTTTGACCATTTCCAGCTCAGGTCGGTTCATGTAAAAAGCTACAGTGAATACATTTCCGGCTTTTAAACCATCAGGCCTCTCACCTCGTCCTCACCTGCTGAACAAATGATGCTTTGATAGAAAAATGACTGATCTGTTATTCAATCTAGCCTTGATTTATTTCAAATTGAAACTATTCCAAAACGTGTGTGAGACATACCTCTAACAATCACAGCGTTATTCATACCTGCAGACGTCTCAACAGTCTGAGTCTACTCACAGAAAACCAGCTCATCGGGGCACTCCCCTGACTCTCTCTCTCTCTCTCTCTTTACTAATTTCAGTCTGTAAGGCAGCAGTGGATCCATACAGCCTTGTATAATAGTCCATGAAGAGGAGGCTTTATATTCCCCCTGCTTCAATCTGCTCCAGTCTCAGCACTGCTGTCAACCAGCCTGGACTGAGCCGTGAGGGAACAGGGGACAGAGAGAGCGAGAGCGAGAGCGAGAGCGAGAGCGAGAGAGAGAGAGAGAGAGAGAGAGAGAGAGACTTGTGCCCCTTAAAGACGCCGTGTGGGCCTTTGTCGCCCTTTGTCGCCTTCTCCAATCAGCATGCAAGAAAAGACCTGGAGGAGCAGAAAGCACAGCTCTGCTCTGTCCTCTCTGCACACTCTGGACCACGGGGCAGCTGTGTATGCAGTATGCAGTATGCACACACAGAGACACACAAGCAAGCAATACAAAAAAAAAAGGCACCAGCAGAGCAGAGGCAAAGCAAACACAAGAGACAAACACAAATAAATAGAGCTGCAGGAGCGTCTGTTGGCCTGCTGCATCAGGGCGATAGGATGTCATGTGTTCTCTTGTTCTTTATGTTTGTCTCTCTCTGGTCCTGGCGGATTCTGTCGGGTCCTCTTTAGACAGGCAGAGGGGGGACAGAAGGTGATGATGAGACAAACATCAGACAGGTTTTTACTAAGAGGCTAACAAACGAGCAGCATCGTACCTCAAGCTGCCTGCAGGCACCACAACACAACAATAACAACAACAACATAGGTACTAAAGCAGACTCTTTTTTTTGTTGCAGATAGAAAGCACAAGTATTCTGTATGCATGCACTGAAGGTACAAGTGATGTTGGACACAGGATGATAAACTTTACACTTCTCTCTGCAGTTAAACATTCCACCTCAGATATCTCCTTCATGGCCGACGCAGCGGTTTAAACTATTGTAAGGATTTTCTGCAGCAGACACTGATTCTAAACCTGACAACATATAGGGAAGAGGGCAGATGGGTCCAAGCTTCTTATTTTCCAGTGTGCTTATGTTATCTGAAAAACCACAAAAAAAAAGGAAGGGATGTGCACTGATGCCAGCAGCATTAAGCACGTTCTTGAAAGCAGAAAATGTCAGGAAAATGTGTCCTTGTGCAGCAACGACTTTTCTGCTGACACTGTAACGATGTTTTCACTGCTCTGCTTTGTTGAATTGTACAGCTCCAGCTGCAGGTATGACTCAGATCAGAATATTTAACGTTTTCTGCAAAGATGGCCGTGAGAACCAACAAGCATTTTACAGCTTATTTTTTTGTGTTTTTGAAGATTTTCTCACTGTTCCTTTTTAATGATATTGGTATGAAACATTTCAATTCACAATGTAATAAAGAACATATTAAAATAATGAAATAAAGAACATATTAAAATAATGAAATAGTGTTAGCTGAGAGCTAAACTTTGAATTAAATTTTTCTGTTATTTAATCATTT